GGTATTCACTGATAATGTCTCTGTTAAATATGGTCAATCTCCTAACTGTGATGGCTGAAGGAAAATGTGTCCACAATATCTGCCGCCTTGGTAGGGGGTAAAGCCTCTAATTTAGACCCAATTTGAGTCTATTTTGAGTATTGTGTCCATTTCATAACCAGAAAATCAATCACGATTTATGTCTCACTCTAACATTTACTTTATTTCAGTGGACTACAGTAACTTTGGATTTATCTCAGAAGTGAAGAAGTCTTGATAGTTGGTGTAAAAGTTCAAGTTCCCTGGCTAAGAACTTAATTAGCAAGGGAACATGGTCACATAAGCATACCTTACCCTATCAAGAACAGTGTAACAGCACTCTCAAGGAAATCCTAGTCAACTAAGCCAGGGAACTGACTTCAGCTTTTTTTTTTCCTTTTTTTTTTTTTGTGAAACTGGGACCAGACCTATTTTCGGGATTGATTTATCTTGTAAAACTTATCCCCGGGGATTTAAAAGTACACTTCTTGATGAATTCAATTTCAACCTTGGGGAAACTCCAGTCTGTTAGAATTCCCTGTTGGAAACAGCAATAATTTCACTTTTGATTCTCAATAAATCTGGAGAAATCAGCCTTGGAGGAAATTCAATTATCTTCAACATGTGGACCTTTGCAAATGTACTTTTACGATAATTTCTCTTCAAATGGAAACTCTTGAAAAAACTAAATTTGCTAATAACTAAAAATAAACTGGATGGCTTTATATTTGCCCCAAAAGAATAAAATGGATAATTATTGCTCCATAAAGTGAGTAATTACAGCATTGCCACTAATCATTATCTTTTCTTCAATTCATCTAGTTACATTTCTTTTTCAATCTGTAAACTCAAATGTGAAAAAAAAAAGTCATACACATTATGACTTAATATCTGCTTTATAGCTGCTCTGCTTTCCATCTGATACAATCATCGCATATATTGCTACATGAATTATTCTCCTGAACTCAGCTGGGGCACAAAATCACCTTGTTAGTATAAAGCTGGAGAACACAGTGACATCTGGTGGTACAAAGGAATACTCATGAAATATACCATGCTGCCTTCTAGTGGCATATATGAGAGTTACAGCTAATCAGATGTGATCCACCCCCTCACTTCTCTCTCTCTTTTTTTTTCCCTTTTTTGTAAGTAAGCAAATATTAACTAAACAACTGGGGAAAAAACTATCAGAAAATCCCTAAAATCTAAATATGCCTACCTTATTTTTTAAAATCTAAAATGATAACCAAATCCTACATGAATCAACCTACATATGTATATCCCTTAGGAATAAAATCAATTTCATTTCTCCCTTTAGGGGATGTACCTACCACACAGTCGCTGGTCTCAGCTGTGGAGATAAATATTGTATTGTACAAGTAGCAAGATACTGAACTAGCAACAAGTGCCTATTTTACAAAAAGTCTTTTACAAGCATTTAAGCTAATAAGCTTAGATGGCTAAAACCAAATAGCAAAAAATGCAAAGTCAGCTGTTTGGCATTGATCTGAGAGTTTTTTTAATATCTGGCCTAAAATAAATTTATTTAATTTTGTCTTATTAATCTGACTATCAAATGTCCATGCTCACACTTCCATTTTAAAAGAAATACAGTAGATATTTCATAACTCTTTTACAAGGGGTATTTTGTTCATGTTCATATCATGTTCAGCAAATACCACATAAAAATTTACTCCTCAAGATTCATCTGAGAATAATAATATTTCTACTTAAAAAAGAATACATTAAAAAGAGTCTGATTTTTCAGATGTTAAATCTAATAGAGATTGTAAGAATTTAGTGACAAATGATTGCCAGTTTTTCATTGACTACATGAAAAGAGAATGTATTTAATTTGAAGAAAGCTTGTGGTAGAATTGCATGCCAAACTATGGACTTCACATCATGCATATGAAACAGCAAGTACATTCAAGATATTTTCTACAGACGATGAATCTGCATTGTGATCAAATCTTTATTTATTCTAAAATTACTACCCTAAATTTCTTTTTTTTAAATTTTAGACTTTTCCCCTTTAAACAGTTTATCCAAACTTGATAAATAAGACAAGTAAATAAGTCAATAAATAAAAAGTGGTCTTAGGTGTGAATCCAGTCTTTAATATCCAGTCAAGTAAGCCTTCACTTTGAGGGCTAATATACCACACGTCAGGCAGAACTGAAGAAATTCTCATCAAATATCAGAAGGACCATCTCTTATAAATAATCTTTCAACAAACCTGCTTTATTTTCTTTTTTATAGTTTCAGTTAAAAGTGGACAGGCACTTTAAGTGGGCGTACGAATATCTGTACATTATTTTCCCTTTTTAAAAAAACTTGATATCAGACCCATGCAAGTAACATTTTCACATCTCAAATAAGACATGATCATGTTGGTCCAAATACAGGCCCATTCCAATTAAATGATAAGAATTTTCTCCACTGCCAGCCATAATATTTCTTTTAAATTTTCCCCTTTAAGAATCTCTTCTACATTAAACCCATCCCATGAACAGGTACTCACCCGCGTCGTGTTAGAGGTGGCAGAGGAAGTTTCGGAATATGACCTTGACCTTCGTCTGTGTCTCTGATTCCTCTTCCGCCTGTGTCTGCGACTGTGGTGTGAATGCCTACTGACGTAATCTGTATCATCGTAGTCGTACCGATGCCTGTCTCTGTCCCGATCTCTTCTGTCCCTACGGTCCCTTGAACGTGAGCGATCTCTGGAGCGAGTCCTTGACCTTGACCTGGTTCTGTCGTAATGATTTCTTCTGTTGTATCGGTCCTCACTGAGGACAGGATGAGGAGGATTAAAAGAAATTGTAAAGTTACCCATTTTTTTATATTGTATTTCATTTAATTTCATTATTAGTACTCATAAAATTTAACTTCCCGACACAAAGACAACTTTTTTTTCAAAACATTTGAATTGACCTTCATATGTATTACTAACAAAACATTCATTAATTCATTTAAGTTGAATTTCATGAGTAATTACTGCAACTAATTGGCAATAAATTCTAAATCATTTCCTTTTTACGTCACTTTCAGCTTGTGGAAAAAAAAACTACCTTCTGGAGTGTCGTCTGTCTCTGTGATCCGGTGACATTCTTCGTCTCTTATATCCATAGCCATCAGGGCTAGGAGACCTGGTACGCCACCTCCGCGATCGTGGCATCTGAAAACATCCACAAAAATTTTTGAAATATTGCCAAATCTACATTATATTTATACATGTGCAGTACAATGTTAATCTGCCCATAGCCTGTGACACTGTCATGTATCTTGAACATATCTTGTGAAACCCATTTTTTGTATAAGGAACAATTCATATGAACATTAGCCTAACTAGAATCTTTATATTGCCAAAACTAATTTTCCAGTCCTGGGGTGTCTTTATTGTGTACTATTTCTTTAGTGTGTATCAACGCCACTCACTGCTTGTTATGACTAGTCCTCAGGGTTAAGGATAAAATATTTACGGTCAAGGCAGTGAGAAATGTATACTATCTACAGTGTATAAAAACCTTCACCTTTTTTTTTTTTGG